TATTTTAAAATTTTTATGTTTATTCAATTTCCCATAATTTGATTTTATTTCAAAAACTTTATTTTAATGGTTTTTCATTTAAATTTGGTAATAATATTTATTTAACAAATTATAATTTGTGAGTTATGGCATTATTGTTGATGATTTCTGTAAATTCAAATTTGATGGTTTATTTATTAAAATCCTTTTGATCTTTTATCATAATGTTAGAATTAAGCGTAACTCAATTAATAGAAAATTTATCTTTGGCATAAAAGACTAGGTCAATATCTAGTGAAATGTTAGAAAAATTAGTAAATGATGTGATTCTTCTGAATCTAAACTTTATTGATTTTGATGTGTGTGTAGATTGTATTAAGGGTAGACAAACTAAACGCACAAAGAAATGAGCCACAATAACTACATAGCTTCTTGAAATTATTTGTAGATTTTCTGATGTTCCATCTTTTGGAGGAGAAAAGTATTTTATCGCCTTTATAGTTAATTTTCACATTATGGATATATCTATTTGTTGTATGAAAAATCTCAAACAGTGGGTACTCTTGAAGTATACATAAATGAGGTTGAAAAACAACTAGATAGAAAGTGAAAATCATAAGGTCATATAGAGGTGGTGAATATTATGTAAAGTATGATGAAACAGGTTAATACTCTAACCGTTTGTTATACTCCTTGAAATGTATGCTATTTGTGTTCAATACACTTTATTATACATGCCACAGCAGAAGCGTGTAGTTATAAGGCGTAATCGTACTCTTATGGAATTGCTTAGGAGTATGTTAAGTAATTCCTCGTTACCCATAATGTTGTGGATATTAAGTAATCTAAAGGGTACAAGTTTTACTATCCAAAACATAGTACGATAATTATTGAAACCGGTAATGTCAGATTCATTAAGAATGGTAAAATCAATGGAAGTGATAAAAATAAGAATTTGATCATTTCAGAAGTTAGAGTACAAATATCTTTACCCATAACTTATAAGGAAATAATTGTTCTTTCAGTTGTTGAACTGTATAACAACGAAGAACAATTAAATGATCAACAACTCTATAATGAGATTGTCACCAATGAATAGATTGTAGAAGAATTATAAGGAATAACATTAAGACGATCTCAAAGAGAAAGGAGATCTGCTATTCCGGATGACTATGTGATATATCTGCAAGAATCTGTTTTTGATATATAGTGAGATATATACAGATCCGATTACATATTCACAAGCCATTAACAGTAATGATTTTACTAAATGGATTAGTATCATGAATGAAGAGATTATAAAGAAATCTTCTCTCTAGTATTTAAGAAGGAATCTTTTAAAATATCATGGCATTAGTAGCTTATTATGATTTAGAGTTACATCAAATGGATGTGAATACAATTTTTATGAATAGGAGTTTATAAGAGGAAGTCCATATGGAACAACTTGAAAACTTCATATTAGAGGGTAAAGAATTCATGATCCGTAAACTTAAGATGTCAATATATGGATTTAAACAAGCTTCCTAACAATGGTATATTAAGTTTAATGATACCATTATTTCTTTTGGTTTTAAGAAAAACACTGTTGATCAGTGTATATACTAGAAGGTTAGTGGGAGTAAGTTTATATTTCTGATTCTATATATTGATGATATTTTATTTGTTAGTAGTTATCTTAGTTTATTATATGAAACTAAAAGTTATCTCTAAGAACTTTGAAATGAAATATATGGATGAGGCATCCTATGTGATAGGAATAGAAATATTTCATTATAGATCACATTGATTTGTTTTCAGAATTGTCTCATAAAGCATATATTAAAAGAATTCTAGAAGATTTGGTTGGAGGAACAATATTATGAAAAAGTGTAAAGTAATTTATGATTACTTTGTCAATTATGAAATTTTAATTTGTAGCATGCTTTGAGGCTATAATTTATGGTTGCAAATTTATTTTAGGACTTGGAGTTATGGGTACCGTTTTCAGATTGCTGAAAATTTATGCTGCAATTGTTGATTTTCTTGTAGGAAAAATGATAGGTATTCTAAAGGTGAAATACTTTATCATTAAAGAAGATATTTAGAAACAACGAATGTCTATTGAAATTATAAGTACACAACTTATGATTGCAATCCATTAATGAATGGACTACCATCCAAGACATTTATGGAACATGTTAAAAGAATGGATCTTAAATGTAGTCAATGATGATTATTTTTTAATTGTGGATTGCTTAAATAGTGCTTATATATATTTGACATTTTGCGCTGATTAAATGTGTTTCTGATATTTCTTATTAATTAATGTACATGTACGTATTGCTTTAATAAGTGGTAATAGGAATAGTTTTGGAAAAGACATTATTGTTAGATCATTATTGATACTTCTCATTTATAGACTATGTTGAATAGATTACTAGTGTTGTGGTACATGGAAGGGACTGTGTCATTTAAGGATATATAACCGCCCTGACTCGCATTGGTAATTTATTTACCATGGTATTTATGATGACCAATTTAATGAGTTAATCTGATTTATGGTGCACATTAATGACTATTTTACTAAACCACTATAGAAATTATCATATGTGCCAAGTGGAAGAATGTAAGATTATTTATTTAATTGTGACCCACATGATTTGGACATGTGACATATTACTTGGTGGGTAAGTAAATAGATATCAATTAATATTATTTATTTTTGGTCAACTTATAATTTACCTTTTTGGTAATTACTTATTGGAGAAGTGTTTTCCTTTCTTATTCCTTACTTTGATGGAAAGTATAATTATATTACTATAAGGAAAACTGGTCCTCTCTCTGCCTTTATAAAAGTGCATATACTCCATCAATTATGTGCAATTAATGAAACAACACGTAAAAGTTTTATGTGTGCAAAAGGCTAAGAGAAAGAAACCAGTTTCCACATTTGCCTGTTGATCAGAGTTGCAGATTAGTTCGTAGCTAAATGATCTGGACGTTGGACTTAATCTCAACAAGAATTGATATCGTGAATCGAGGTATTTATATCTAACTAGTATTTATTTATGCATTATAGATATGTGAAAATCATGAAGTTCTAAGATATGGGATTCATGTAAATTTGTAATTAATGGCTTAACACGAATTATTATAATTTACAAAGGCGACCCATTTCCCTTCATATAGGAGGTTTCTAGTTTTAGAGAGAGAAAAAAAACTGAGTTTTAGAGAGAAATAGATTGAGGTTGCGTTGTGAGTGACGACTAGGATTGAGCTGATTCAGCTATAATATTATAGTGAAGCGAAGACTTTGTTTCATCCACAATATTTTTTCCTCTGCAGTGAAGACATCCTTTACAAATACTTTTCACTCTTACTGTTTTTTTAAAAATTCAAACCAATGGCATTGGATTCGTTTGTTTGCAGATTAATAAGTATACTTACTATCTATATATGGAAGATTTTGGCAAATTTACAACGCATACCTTAAAAACAAGAATAATTCTTACAAAACTAAACATGCCTTTTAAGTAACTTTGCCATGTTTTTATTAGGCTACTAGGCCAATGGATCCCTATCTTTTCATCGGACGGTTGAGATAGATTATATTCACCATCCAGGTCCGGTCAGCACAACAAAAAATTTGAACATTGACTCACCTCGGACAAGCCAGTTTATGGAGTAAAAAAGCTTCTCCACGAGGAGGGTGAAGGCGGGGAAGACTGAAGAAGAAAAAAACAAAATAAAAAATATAAGGGCATTGTTAGTATTTCACATCCATGAATTATATATTTTTTATAATAAATTAATAAATAAGGGTAAATTAATAATTGTATCGTTTTGTCGATCGAAAAGTTGTCTCCTATAGCCTTAAATGAGGCATTTTGCTTGCTTTTAATAATTGAGGGGGACAACTTGCTTCTAAAAATAATTCAGGGAGGCATTATACAACAATGGTATAGTATAGGGGTGTTTTTTGCTCTTTTGCCTTTTTTTAATAAAATGATGAATGCTAGAGTTTTTCTCAGCGCACTTGCCCTTGCCACCATTTTTGATTCCTGTAAGTTTTGTTTTCTTATTTTTTAAGTTATTTTATATTTGCATTATTCAATTTTTATATCTTTGAACATAAGTGCCGGCAAATTCAATAAGAGAGTTTTTGCCAAACGCAACTCCTCAAAATCTAGTTGAGCTAGATTGAGGACACCGAGACATCTTAAAATTGAAATAGAAAGAAATTTTGTTCAAACTTTAAATGAAAATTTCTCCAATTTCAATTCCAATGTATCAATTCGATATTCCAGAAACTATATTTGTTCGTAACATTGGACAAATATATTTATTTGAATTTTAGTATGTGCATATGCAAAAAAGAGCACATACCATTGAACACTAAGATATATAGTAAAAATGACAACAAGATGTTTTTTTTTGGGAAAATGTTCTAATATCAAACTACTACATTCTGCTTAAGTTTGATTGCAAAATTAAAAGATACGGGTAATAAATAGGTATTATTTTTCTTTCAAATAAATATCTAAAGAAAAACAAATTTTAGTAATATATATTAATATTATCTTTCTTTTAAAGATTTCTATTTTTATTTTGGTAATTACCTTTTATGGCTTCAAAGGTGGTAATCATAAGATTAAATATGGAAACTAAGAATAGGGTGAGGATGATTTTGTGTTAAAACAAAAGTATATGAGTGAGTTTGAAAAATGACTGTTAGATTTAATCCAACACTCTTTATAAAAAGTGTGGATTAATTTTCTAAGGAGAACAAGAGATCAGGACTCATTTATATATATATATATATATATATAGTCGTGTGTGAATCATCTTCCGCAAATGAGGACCACGTACTTGGTTTACGCATGACCAAAATTTCAAATTCCAGTCATAATTGAACTCTTCCTAGATCACGGTCAAGCTTTTCAATTACATAATAATCTTGTCCAAAAAAAATCAATGCCAAATTAAAATATCCAAAAACAAACCCTATATATATAACACTATAACCCCATACTACCACTACACAAAACATAACTCACTTTTCCATTTTTAAAACAAAATGATGAATGCTAAAGTTTTTCTCGGCCCACTTGCCCTTGCCACCATTTTTGATTCCTGTAAGTTTTGTTTTCTCATTTTTTAAGTTATTTTATATTTCCTCTTCAGATATTATACATACATACATACATATATATATATGTATATATTTATATATATGCGTGTGTGTGAATAATATTGTAATAGGTGCACATTCATGCTGTGTGTCATCATCTCTCAAACATTAAGTCCAAAATCAATTTGTATGAAAAAGTTGATGTTTCTTGTTATAGATTCCAACTTGTGGACCAAAATTAATCTCATCCACATTTTATATGAAAAACTCACACATTCAAACCTATAAAGGAGTGGAACCCTTTAACCTTTTTATTCTGTATAATAAGAAAAACAATACTCAATGATCTTTTATGAACTCAATTGCTTGATGTGTGTGAATATTGATTTATAGGTACACATATATTTCTGTCTTAAAAAAATATTTATGTGAAGCCTACTAAGTATTTACCTAAATGGTTTTGATTTGAACTGAATGCATCGAAGCTCTACGTAGTATTTTTATTTAGCGGCTTTTTTTTTTTAAAGGTAAGAGATTTAACTATATATATTGTATTACAGGGGCTCACTTGGCCACATTCACATTCACAAACAACTGCTCTTACACCATTTGGCCTGGAACCCTCACTGGCGGTGGCAGTGCTCAATTATCATCAACGGGGTTCGAGTTAGCATCTAAAGCCTCATCATCTCTCAACGTGCCCGCCCCGTGGACCGGCCGGTTTTGGGCACGGACTTTTTGCACCACGGACGCAAGTAGGAAGTTCAGCTGTCAAACTGCCGACTGTGCCTCCGGTCAGATAAGTTGCAATGGTGCCGGTGCAATCCCTCCAGCAACCCTAGTAGAATTAGTCCTAGCAGCTAACAATGGACAAGATTTTTACGACGTTAGCCTAGTAGATGGGTTCAACTTGCCGGTTTCCATCACCCCACAAGGTGGATCCGGCAGCTGCAGCCCCTCTTCCTGCCCGGCCGACATCAGCGCCAAGTGTCCAGCGGATCTTGCGCTGAAAAATTCAGATGGTGCCACAATTAGTTGCAAGACTGCATGCCTAGCATTTGATCAGCCACAGTATTGTTGCACTGGAGCTTATAACACAGAAGCGACTTGTCCACCAACGAACTACTCTCAGTGCTTTGAAGGGAAGTGTCCTTTGGCTTATAGCAATGCCTAGGGTGTCACAACTAGCACTTTCACTTGCAATGGTGGACCTAACTATGCTATTACATTCTGTCCATGAGAAATAGGACAGACAAGGGGGAAATTTTTGTTTAGTAGTAACTAAAATAATTTAGAAATAGTAAGTTACGTGTTAATATCTTAATTTGTACTTGTGGTCACATCACACTTGACCTTGTACAATAAATGTAAAAATAAAATGAACAAGTGGAAGCTGAGGTATTCTCACTTACAATGAATCAGTGTGCAAATTAATTCTTCTCCTCAATTAATCAGCAAGTATCCATGTTCTTATGCTCATTGTATAACCAATAGGTTCAAACTATATAAGCTTATTATTATTATTATTATTATCTTTGGAAGGTAAAAAGCATTTTATTGTGTATGTTTGTTGTCAATGATAAGCATTGAACACTAAGGAAAAAAAAAAAGTGAAGTGAATGAAAGAAAATTAAAATTTTCATCATGCAAATTTTGATTAGCATAAAAAGTATTCAAAAAAATGAAAGTGAAAATTTTTCATTGTGCATTTGATCAACATGATTTTTTTTAAAGGCACAATGATTCCGTTCCTTCCAAATGTAGTAGATATACTCGGAGAAACATAGCATATTGGTCGATGCAATGTTAGATTTTGAGTTGGGTTTCCATATAAGGAAGCACCGTCTAGTAATGAAGTTGATCGAGGCTGCGATCTCCATCCATAAAACCCTTAAATTTCGTATTTTATTTTCTATTATTTAGTATTTAGTTTTTTTTTTCAACGTGATAGTAGAGATATTAGAGTTTTTAAAATTTAAAATTTAAAAAACTATCTCAAATGCATTATAGTTATCCTTTATATTTCAAGTCGTATCAGTTCTACGAGGATATTATTTTCGTTAAAAATAATAATAATAAAAAAAAAAACAGAAAAGAAAAGAAATTACCGAGAGAGAAAGAGAGGAAGCGGGTTACTAACATTTCATTGTCAATCTGCATTAGCCGGAAAAAGAGACGGTGACCAAATGATCGGCTAGAGAGAAAGGTTTAATGATATTTAACAGGCAAGTTAATCTTGCTTTGTACACTTATATATATATGTAACTTTGTTTGTTAAATGTGCTGATTAATCATTATATCTTATGTTAAAGACTAATAGCATTTGAATAAGATGTTAATTGAAAATAGATTGGCAATTTCATGCCTAATGAATTAATAGATTGGTGTTCTGTTTATGTTTGAGTATGGAATCAATGTGGTAGTATTGTTGTTTAACTCATTATGGTGATAGGCATGCATACGTGTATAGTATGTAATATATATATATATATATATATATATATATATATATATATATATTTGGATATATGATTAAATGAGAATCTGATAAGGAAGAAAGGAGGAACATGTTCTTGTCGAAATTATACATGCATTGAATGAATAGAATTTTTGAAGGAATATAATTTTACTATGTAAACAGAATCAATGGTGATGAACTTAATTAATGTTAATATAGAATGTTGGGTCAATTAGAAGTTGGAATGAAAGATTGGTATTGGTTAGATCTGGGTTTACTTGGGAAGGAGGAATTCAATTCTTGGGCTTTACTACAGTGTCATTGTAGGGCTTGGCATGTGAGGGAGAGTCAGGCTGATAAGCGCCGAATATTGTATATTCAAGCGCCCTAAATTGCATTAGTAAAGTCCGTTGTATGTTAATTTATGTAGATTATCTTCATTTCTATGTTTTTATGCATTTTCAGGTTCATTGGCCAAAATGGAACAAGAATAAGGCCTTGTGGAATCTTGAGCAACAAAAGGTGCCAATGCTGAATTCTGGCAGCAGTAGAACCTGGACTTTGCTCGCCATTTTGACCTTCCAAACTCGAGAACTGGACTTCCCTCATAGAATGAAAGATTTAGAGCTCTGAATTAGCTTTCTAAATCTTCAAACGGTTTGTCATTCGGAGCTTGGAGCAGAGAGTTATGGCCTTGTTACCAGAGGTACGCAGAACTGCCTGGCAGCAATGAAATTCTGGCTTGATCTTCATTTTCGACCAACCATCCTTGAGAATTGGATCTCCACCAAAACATGAAATATTTAGAGCTCTGAATTAGCTTTCTAAATCTTCAAACGGTTCATCATTCGGAGTTCGGAGCGCAAAGTTTTGGCTGTTTAACCAAAGTAGGTCTGGGCAGAGCAAGTGAAGCATGGAGCTTTTTACACTAAATTCGAGTGCTCGAGGCCTTGCTTAGAGTGCTCGAATTTTTGGCAGAATGCCCTTCGGAAATGGCTCATTTCAGCCCACTTGCACCTTGGTTTCTTCATTTTGTTTTCCTCTTTAATGAAGTGGTTGGAGATGTTGGTTGGTGGCATTTTGGGTGGTAGATAAGAGGGATAAGAGCCACACAATACATTAAGCTTCATATTCTACAAGATGAGAGGAGAGAGAAGAGAGCAAAGGAAGGAGAGTTCTTGGAGCAAGAAAGGGGAGCTCGAAAATGGAAGGAGGATCCATGGTTCTTCTTCATTCTAAGGCTCCCATGTATAACTAACTCCTTCTCTAGGGAGGTAATGGAACCCCTCATTGTAAGCATGCTTTACTTTTGATTCTAGTTTGGGAAAAATAATGTATTTTTGTGGTGATTCCATAATCTAGAACTCTTACTTGATGTAATGAATTGATTTTGATTTAATGATCATGTTGGACCTACTTTCTTGTCTTAGAATGTATGTTTTCATGGTTGTATGGTTTACATTTTCATGGTGACAATGAAGATGAGATTTTTGGAATGGTTTTAATGGCATGTTGTTGAGAGATTTGATAGGCCATAGCTTAGGTTCTTCCTTTGATGGCTTATTCTTAATTCTTAGCTTCATGTGCTCTTATCATGTGATTGATGGTTTGACAATTTCTAGCTTAGTGAACATGTCTTAAATTACACTTTAGTTTAGGTAATTGAGCATGTAAAATCTTTGATAAATTGTTCTTGCCTATTGATTCCATGAATCCTTTGAAGGTAATGTAGTAACCATGAGTAACTACTTATCATAGCCACATATTTATGTTATTTTTCCCCGAATGAATCATATTCTAGCATGTTTATATTGTCGGTGGTGAAGTTACTTCCCTAGTCTCTTTTACCGACATTTTATCTCTTTTAAATTCTTGCAAGTTCTATTTTATGCATCTTAATTTCATAACTTTAGTGACAAACCAAGCAAACACCCTATTCCCCCTTATCATTCTAAAATGATTCTAGACGCTTAGGTTGCCTTAAACTAGCGCAGTCCCAGTGGTTCGACTTACCCGACCAATAGCCCTATTTTACAATGATTCGTGCTATTGCGAAGGTTGATGTTTAATTGACCAACCGATCACAGGCCCATTTCGAATCTAATCTCAGTCAACCACTAGGTCCAATCTGTGGAGCCACACTCAGGTCCAACAGAATTAGAATTATTTTTTTTTAAATTCTTATTTCTTATTAGTTTTAACTTAGAATAATTAAGGAAAAATATTTTAAACATTTCAAAAATTATGAAATTTTCCAGAATATTATATTTTAGTATAATGAATCTAGTTTTGTTAAAATCCAGATTTTAAATGCTATTTGGGTAAGTTTACCAAATTAAACCTTGAACAAGTATTATTTCTCAACACTAAAAGGGAAAGTACGGAAAAACTATTAAGAGTTAAATTCTGAAATTTTGCAACGTATTATATCTAATGTTAGTCTATGTCCAAGAATTTTGTACTCTCACTAGTTGGGTCTTTAAGGTTCTGTTTTTAAAATTAAAATGGCATTTGGGTGTATTAATTATTAATCTGAATTATTAATTAATGATATCTTTCATAATTCATCATAATTAATAATTAATGGATGAGTTTTGATTAGTCAGATGGGTAGTCAGGGACTGACCCTATGATGACTTTTATGGTCAGGGACCTGCCTATTTGGGAGTGTACTACTCTTTTATTATGGCTATGGGTCTAATGAGCCCTTATTGTGTGGACGTGATCAGGGATCATCTGGGGAGTAGACGTACAATCCAGCCACACGTGTGTTTTCGGTAGTCAGGGACTATACGATTCACACCACTTTATTGGATGGGAGCCCGGGGCTCATATGAGATATGTGGATTTATTAAAAGTAAATGATGGTTATTTATTGAGGTTATAATTAACTGGGTTATACATAATTGAATAATGCACTTATTTGAGTTGCTTATATATACGAGAATACAAGGTAAGGTTAGCTTGCTGAACAATGATTGTGTTCAACATTTCTTGCTGAGCTTGTGAGCTCACCCCATTATCACATTTCAGGTGCTCGTAGAGTAGGAACGTGATGGAGACACGTGCGGGGATAGATTTTTAGCTCGTTGCTTATTATTTATTTTTACTAGGATTTACCTTGTTATGATCATTGTAATAAAGTTAGAGTTTTGTGAGACTTTGTTTAGTTGTTTTAGTGGTTATGGACGTTTTTATTTTGTCAGAGGAAATTTCACCTATATCCATTATTTGTATAAATTTGTCAGACTTACATGTCTAATAAAATTTATGATGGGATTCATCGTAATTCTATTTATGGTGGATGTATGTTGAGATTCGGTGGAAGTTATACTTTAGATTTTTTTGCAGAACAAGTAGTTTTGTGTTAAAATTTGGGGTGTGACAGTAACAATAGGAGCATATACTTATACGAATTATCTACTCTCTTACCATGCTCCAGTTTAAAGTATAAATTATTTGTGAGACTTATCATTAACATTCTTTACAGGAAAATAGGATGTCAGGAGCTGGAAGAAGCAGAGGACGACCTGCTAGAGGTAGAGGTCAGGGAGGTACTGGTCATGGTGGTGTTGACATGACGATGTTCAGTTGGAGGATGCACCTTATGCTCGAATCCTATGATTGGATTTATCAGAGATATACGCAAATTGGTGGCTGTTGAATTTGTTAAAGCTACTGATCCGTTTGATGCTGAAAAGTGGATTAAAGATATGGAAAAGTATTTTGAGATGATGGACTGCACTGACGTACAGAAAAGGAAGATTGGTGCATTTCTTTTATCTGGTGAGGCGCGCTAGTGGTGGCAGTCAGAGACCAGGATGGTTATGGACATTACAACTATGACCTTGGATGATTTTAAAACTCGGTTCAACGACAAATACTTTCCACTATCAGTGAAGGAGAAGAAGGTAGCTGAATTTATGTAGCTGGAATAGAATAATGATATGTCAGTCAGTAAGTACGAGAGAAAGTT